CAATAATAAAGCCAGTTTTGGTCGATTGGGTAGAGATATACTCTTTTTATCAACCATTTTAATCTGGTTGAGAACCAATAATCAACGTCCTTACACTGTTGAACAATGTAAAATCTGACATCGGAAACTTGACAAAATAAAATATAATTGTTTATCTATTTTGTGTCAGGATTGAGACGCAGAATTTAAGCCCAAACAACAACATATAATGAATCATTTCACTAGCTACTAAAAAAAGACCCCTAAACCTATTGGATTATGATACTCTAATGTAAACAAAATTAGAAAAGAAGTGAATTTTTTTTAATAAGAATGCCACATAATTCCACCTACGTACCCACAATCCAAAATTTAGGAAAACGTAATACCCACGGCTAGCTTTGAGGACTATTTTCGTTTACCTCCAATAGCAATTGGTGGTTTAGATTAACTTTAGGGTCGCTTAAATTCGACACTAAATATTCTAATTCTTTTTTCACCAGCATATATAATATTAAATTTTTTTTCTTCATATTTTCTTTTTCTCATTACCTTCCTCTCTGAGATCACCCAGATAGCCATCGAAGAAGAAAAAAGCAGAGATAATTTTGAAGCGTCTAAGAAGTTACTTCTTAGGCCTTCGATTTTCTCTTCTTCGTTGTTCGCGTGTTCTAATTCGATTTACTACAAAGGTATTAGGGTGCATTTACGTCCAAATCCCATGGCGGATGAAAAGCGAAAGGCTGCTCCTGAAAGTAAAACATCTCTCTCTCTCTCTCTCTCTCTCTCTTCAAATGGTTTTCGACCGACTTCTAATTATGGAAATATTTTGTTTTGCATGCAGAGGATACAAGTGCAATAAAAAAAGGTAATTTCCGGGCACCATCTTGAAGTTCATTTAGTTTATATGCTTGTATTAATAATCTGTTTATCTTGTGCTTGCACAACAGTTTTGTCAACTAAGTCATTGGGTTTAATCAAAGCATGGGAAGAAAGCGAGAAAACAAAAGTAGACAACAAGTAAGACTCAAATCTCTATGCTAATTCCACATTTTGCCAAACCATTTTGGCCACATTTCTCGATTTGATAGGAGAAAGTTGGCACAATTGATTACATTTATTTTAAGAGCTTATATTTTTACTTTCCACATTTTCTAACAATAATGTATTGAAATTGTTGATTAGGACAAATAAAAAGTTATCTAATGTTGTTGCCTGGGAGCTCAGCAAGCAAGCATATATTGATGCGCGACAGAAGAAGTTTGAGGTAATTAATAGGACTAATTCTAGATTCAAGGCATTACTCTTTTGACGATAATACTAGAGCCTCAAAAGAAGATTGAGATTGAAAATGAGTCCAGATATGATACCAACACATAACTTATGAAACGTTGTCATATTAGTTGCGATTCAAAACTTTGACGTTCGCCACTTATTCTCATAAGAATATATGTATTAATTAATTAGAAAGGGCCATTGATTATTGTTGCTTTTGAAAAATGTGACAGCGAAAACTAGAAAGGAAGAAGGCAGTGTACGTAGAAAAGATGCAAAATAAAATTGCTGACATTCATAAGAAAGCAGACGAGAAAAGGGCGATGGTTGAAGATGTGAAAGGGGAAGAACGTGCAAAGGTAGAAGAGAAGGCTGGCAAATTCCGTGAAATTGGGCATGTACCAAAGAAAATCCTATGTTTTAACTTTTGAAATTTGTGTGTGTTT